AACTCAGAGAAAATAATTGCCCAGATACAGAGAAAAATTCACTTTCCTTTCCCCTGTCACTTGGGATTTGTGGAGCACCACTTTCTGCACCTCACATTCGCTGCCTGGTCAGCATAAGCCATTCTTTGCTAAACTTTTTACAACAACTAGTCTATCTTATGTGCCCACTCCTGCATCTCATAAAGATGACTTTCTTCTAGAGGCCTGTTTTTTTCCTTCATTTCCACTTTTGTTACCTTGAATTAAAATCTCTCAGCATTATCTCAGCTGCCCACACCCCTCCCACACAGTTTTTAACACTGGTACACATCAGCATCTTCCCCATCCCAGCGCCGCTCCACAGCAGCCTGCACCACCAGCCCGCAGAGCCCCACATAGCCCACCTCTTTAATCACGTTAATTAATTGCAAGGGAGGGCAGCTCCCCAGCAGCAGCTCCCCAGGAGGGGCAGGAGCATCAGCTCAGCGTGCGAGGGCTCAAGCGTGGCCGGCAAAACCAACCCGGTGTTTCTGGAAGAAGAGTGAGGATGGTCAGTGCTGCAGGACTGCGCTCCTCCAGTTCCATGTGCTCTGGGACCCCCAAGGCCCCTGGGACCCCCAGTCCCGGTACAAGAGCAAACGCAGACCCGGGGCAGTAACGGGAGAGCCCGGCGACAGCGCCAGTAATGGACAGAGACGGCAGATCTGCACAGCTCCCTCGGTTGATGTTACACCGGCCTAAATAGTCCTGCAGGTATTTAATTTTAAATTGTTACAAGCAGCCTACAAACAACTTCTCACTGGCCCGGTCTGAAACAAGGGGGGTTGGTGATTCTTTAGCAAGGGAACTGGAAAAATGTACAGGAAAACAAGCACGGTTTCACTCAGGGGCATTTTTTCATGTTCCTTGTGTAAAAGCTAATGGAGATTTTTACACAGAGAAGCCTGCCCACAGCTTGGCCACCCTGTAGGATCCCTGAATCCCATCTGGATGCTGAGGTGCAGCCTGCAAGCAGCGATTGCAGCCTGCCGGCTGGGAGCAAGAGGGAAGCACCGCCAGGCGAGCCCACAGCCTCCCGTTCGGGGTCCCACTTGCATTTTCCCTGTTTGAAGTAACGCGAACAGCAGCACAAGCAGAGCTCAGCACTGCACGGGCGGGGCAGCGAGCCCGAAACGCCGCCGCCTCGGCCACGCGCCGTAGGCAAACCGCCTGCCGACTTCCCCACACCCCTCCGTGCAACTTTCTGCTCCTCGCATTTATTTTTCCAGATAGGATGATATTTTAGGGCCAGCTTTTTTTTTTTTTTTTTTTTTTTTTTTTTTT